AGCATGCTTCGTTTCAATTCCTACTTGGATGTGATCCCAATTGATGCATAGTCACGCATAGTTTTGGGAGGGCTGCAATCACCAGCCACTTTCGATTAACGGGAACTTCCACCTCCGGCACCGGCACGGAGGTTGTCAACCTCCACTCGAACTTGCCGCAACACATAACGGAGCCGTTCCATCGTTCCGCATTCGTGCTGCTGTGGTCATGACAGAATGCCCAACCCCAAATTCTGTATGTTGTCTTTTCATGTCCTCTCCATTGTGCCTCAAATTTAATCCTCCCACTTGACTTTCAGATTTTGTGGGCTATGGATGGCATTTGGAAGCATTGAGATATGTCGCTTAGCCAGATCATCCCAGATCCCCTTGGTTCATGACAGCCAATTATAGCAATATTCAGGAGATGTTGCTGCGCAGCATTGGTCTTGCTGGGCTCAGCTTGGCACTGGTGAGCAGCACCAGCCTTGCGAGGTGGGAGAAACGTGCATCCGGTACGATGTAGCGGAAGAACCAGCATCAACGAAGTTTGGAATGTTCAAACGTAGTTTAAACAACTCCAGATGTTTCTGACATTTTCTGACCTTCAACTCATTTTAACTCCATAGCTTCATGCTTCAGCTACTGGCACCCAAGCTTGGCATCCCCATCGCATCGCTCTCCCACCATGCGGGTCTCCCTTTGCCTGGCCTTCTTCGCCCAAGCGGCCGCCACGCCGCAAGCGCAGCCGCTGCTGCTGCAGCTGCAGCAGCTGCAGGCGGAGCTGTCGCAGCAGCGACAGGTGATCCAGGAGCTGCAAGAGACACGACGTTTGCAGGCGGAGGAGAGTGAAACTTGGTGCGAAAATGTGCTTAAATGTCCTAAAAAACCTAAAAAGGTGGGGGGACCAGAGATGACGATTTAGGTCATTCATGGTCATTCTGTAGGCTTCAGATTTATAAATGGTCTTAGGTGATGGTTAGGTGATGATTGAACATAGAACATGACATTGATAAACTATACTATACCAGCATGTTTGTTTGTGAAATCTCAAGTTTTCATGGTTTCACCAGCTGCACGAGTGATTTGCAGATCATCACGGTTGAATCCTGAAGATTGATAATTTTAGGGTTGTTAATCCATATTAATTCTTAGAAGACTGGATAATGATCGCAAGGTTGGCCGTTTTTTTTAAATGTTTCCATGCGATTTGCAATGGCTTGGGCCTCAGTTCACAGCCATCGTTTTTGATGTTTTGTGGGATCAGGAAAGTATCGATGACAAGATCACCAAGTTGCAGAAAGCTGATTTGGGACTGGGTGGAGCCCTTGACTCAGCCTGGCTGTGCCTCTGTGGTGCTCTGGTGATGTTCATGCACGCAGGCTTCGCCATGTTGGAGACGGGAAGCTGCCGCGCCAAGAACGCATCCAACGTTCTCATGAAGAATTTGGTGAATGTTTGCGCTGGAACCTTGGGCTGGTGGAGCATCGGCTGGGCACTGGCCTATGGCGAACAACATGGCAATGGTTTCATTGGAACCGACGGCTTCTTTGGCTTCGGCTTCTACACGCGCGACAAGGCCAGTGGAGTGATCACACCTGTTGAATGCACTGCTGATGGCTGTCAATCGACTATGTTAAGCTGGTTCTTCCAATGGGCGTTTTGTACTGCCGGTGCCACCATCGTGAGCGGGGCAGTAGCCGAGCGTGTCAAGAGCCCCACCTATGCTGCCTTTGCGTTCTTGATGACAAGCTTCATCTATCCCATGGTTGTGGCATCCACCTGGGGTGGTGGCTGGTTGGCCTCACTTTACGGCGTAGGCTACATGGACTCTTGGGCTGATAGCTCCAAGTAGTATTATACAAAGAGACATATTTTATGAGTCCAATTTAACTTTATTTTTTATATTTTTTTTTGAATAGGTTTCCCACCTTTGCGCTAGTGAACCCCATTCTAGATCCTTGGTGTGTCAAATATTTATTAGTGCCTGATTTGTGTAATATATCGGTGCATACATGCATGCATACATACATATTATGAATATATAATCACATATATATATATACATATTATTAAAGTATAGATAGATTATTATAATTTATTGTATTTATGTACTTTTTTTATATGTTTTATTCTATGTTCAGTATGGATGGATGGATGAATGGATGGATGGATGAGGATGGATGAGGATGGATGAGGATGGATGAGGATGGATGAGGATGGATGAGGATGGATGAGGATGGATGAGGATGGATGAGAATGGATGAGGATGGATGAGGATGGATGAGGATGGATGAGGATGGATGAGGAATAATGCGGCTGGCTGCTGCTGGCTTCGGCTGGCTGCGGCTGGCTGCGGCTGCGCTGCGGCTGCTGCTGGCCCTTGGCTGCGGCTTGCTGCGGCTGGCTCGTCTGGCTGCGGCATGGGTGCGGCTGGCTGCTGCCTGGCTGCTGCCTGACTGCTGCTGGCTGCCCTGCTGCTTCTGCTGGCTGCGGCCTGGCTGTGGCTCGCTAGGCTGGGCTCGGCTGCTTCGGCCCCTGGCCCTGCGGCTGGCTGCGCTCTGGCTGCGGTGGCTGCGGCCTGCTGCGCTGGCTCGGCTGTGCGGCTGGCTGCGGCTTGCCTCGGCTGTCTGCTCGGCTGGGCTGCCGGCTGGATGCGGACTGCTGCGAGCTTGCTGTCGGCCTGGCTGCTGCTGCTGCTGCTGGCTGCTGCTGCTGCTGGCTGCTGCTGCTGCTGCTGGCTGCTGCTGCTGCTGCTGGCTGCTGCTGCTGCTGGCTGCTGCTGCTGCTGCTGCTGCTGCTGCTGGCTGCTGCTGGCTGCTGCTGCTGCTGGCTGCTGCTGGCTGCTGCTGCTGCTGCTGGCTGCTGCTGGCTGCTGCTGGCTGCGGCTGGCTGCTGCTGGCTGCTGCTGGCTGCGGCTGGCTGCTGCTGGCTGCGGCTGGCTGCTGCTGGCTGCGGCTGGCTGCGGCTGGCTGGCTGCTGCTGCCGCTGCTGCTGGTTGCTGCTGCCGCTGCTGCTGGCTGCTGCTGCTGCTGCGGCTGGCTGCTGCCGCTGCTGCTGCTGCTGCTGCCGCTGCTGCTGGCTGCTGCTGCTGCTGCTGCTGCTGCTGCCGGCTGCTGCTGGCTGCTGCTGCTGCTGCGGCTGGCTGCTGCTGCTGCTGCTGCGGCTGGCTGCTGCTGCTGCTGGCGGCTGCTGCTGCTGCTGGCGCTGATGCATGCTGCGGCGGCTGCTGCTGCTGCTGGCTGCTGCTGCTGCTGCTGGCTGCTGCTGCTGCTGGCGGCTGAATGTGCTGCGGCGGCTGCTGCGCTGGCTGGCGGCGCTGCTGCTTGCATGGCTGCTGGCTGCTGCTGCTCTGGCCTGCTGCTTGCTGCTGGCTGCTGCTGCTCTGGCCTGCTGCTGGCTGCTGCTGCTGCTGCTCTGGCCTGCTGCTTGCTGCTGGCTGCTGCTGCTCTGGCCTGCTGCTGGCTGCTGCTGCTGCTGCTGCCTGCTGCTTGCTGCTGGCTGCTGCTTGCTGCTGCCTGCTGCTGGCTGCGCTTGCTGCGCTTGCTGCTGGCTGCGCTGCCTGCGCTGCCTGCGCTGGCTGCGCTGGCTGCGCCGGCTGCTGCTGCCTGCTGCTTGCTGCTGCCTGCTGCTGGCTGCTGCTGCGGCGGCTGCTGCGACTGCTTGCGGCCGCCCGCATATGCTGCTGCTGTGCTTGGCCGCCGCCGCCGCCCCGCTCGGCCGCCGCCGCCGCGCCTGCTGTGGTCTGCTGCCTGCTGGCTGCCGCCGCCGCTGCGACGGCCGCCGCATGCTGCTGCCTGGCGCTTGCTGCTGCTGCGCTTGCATGCTGCTTCTGCTGCTTGCTGCTGCTGCCGCCGCCTGCTGCTGCTGCTGCTTGCTGCTGCTTGCTGCTTGCTGCTGCTTGCTGCTGCTGCTGCTTGCTGCTGCCTGCTGCTGCTGCTCCTGCTTGCTGCTGCTGCTCCTGCTTGCTGCTGCTGCTGCTCCTGGCTGCTGCTGCTGCTGCTGCTCCTGCCGTGCCATCAACCAGCCTCCAAGGCGAGAAACCAACAGCCAGACATCTTGTTCGAACCTCACTCGAAACAGCAAAACACCACCTAATTTCGTGCCAAAAATGGCGCAAAATCGCAACAAAAAAGTGCCTAACGTGTCTTCTGAAATCCTAGAGAATCCTAGGGAATCCCAAGAACTATATGTCCCAGAAAAGCTTAGAGTACTGTATAGTACTGGCTGCCTCCTACCTGCTACAAAAACGTGGGTCTCGGACAGGGAAACACCATAGTAGTGAAGGACGGAGGCAGCGGCAGCTGCCGCTGCTGGTGCTGTCGTCCGCTGATGCTGCTGCTGCTGCTGCTGCTCTTGCTGTTCCTGCGCTGCTGCTCTTGCTGTTCCTGCGCTGCTGCTGCTCCTGCCGTGCCATCAACCAGCCTCCAAGGCGAGAAACCAACAGCCAGACATCTTTTTCGAAACTCACTCGAAACAGCAAAACACCACCTAATTTCGTGCCAAAAATGGCGCAAAATCGCAACAAAAAAGTGCCTAACGTGTCTTCTGAAATCCTAGAGAATCCTAGAGAATCCTAGACTATACATCCTAAAAAATCTTAGACTATATATAGACTATATATAGTACTGGCTGCCTGCTGGCTGCTGCAAAAACGTGAGTCCCGGACAGGGAAACACCATAGCAGTGAAGGACGGAGGCAGCTGCAGCTGCCGCTGCTGGTGCTGTCGTCCGCTGCTGCTGCTGCTGCTGCTGCTGCGGCTGCGGTAGTCCGAAACAAGAGTCAAAAGTATTATTCCCTGGCGCGCTCCCCCTTGCGTCTGCCGGGGTCGGCGGATATCGAATATATCGAATATAGATTTCTCCAAGACAACGATATCCGACTGATATCATTCTCAGCTCCGTCCCATCACTTCCCGCGACAACTTTGGGCAGTTCATCAAGATGGTTTATCTCCCCATCTCTTCCAATCCCATCGGAGATTTCTCCCATCAGCCATGGCCCGTTGGAGGTTCAAATTGATGGTGGGCTTCTTCCAACCAGCTCAGCTTCCAACCCTCACGGCTGAAGATATGGCCTCTGAGCAGAAGAACGACGAGCGGAGGAAACAGAGGTGTGGTGCCGCTGGGATTCTGATCTGGTAGCTTGAGGAGCTTCCCCCAGAGACGAACAACTATGGGAAATCCATTTGTTTGAATCGACTTCATCCTATTTCTATCTTTAAATGTAATAGACATGTGATGTATGAGTGTGATGTATACATATGATTACATATGAACATATATATATATATTATAATACATGTTACATGTCATATAATTAATCAATATAATATTCGCCAGTTGGATGATGACCTGATGACCAGGAAATATGCCATGGAAGCCTTGGACCAGGGCTGGGCCTTAAAAAATGGACAGTTGGAGCCTTAGCGACGATGATGCAGAACTGATGCAGAACGTCCTGGAAATCTTGGCGAAAACATGGTAAAACATGGAGACATCAGCTAAGGCAGCCCACTACTGGGATGTTCACTTGTGGCAAGTGCAAAGTTTGATCCTCAAAAGCTGCGATTGGTACAGCGGTCGCTTCTGTCGACAATTTGGCCTCTTCCGTTTCTCCGGCGGTGGTCAATTGAGGGCAACAAGACCACGTACTTCCAGATGCAAACAAGGCGCTGTGTTTCCTCTGGTTTGAGATCTGGCTGTGGCTCAGATTGGTCGATCCGAAATCAGTCAGTTTCGGGGAGCAAAGCATCCAACATCATCCAACATCATCCGACAGTCAGTTCCTTTTTGCAAGTTTCATTGGCGAATCGAAGCCCAAAATGCCAAGAAAGTGGAACAAGTGGAACAGAAATGGACCAGAAATGGAACACATTGGAGCTCAGTGGAACCTGAGCACGGTCCGACACCAGGTCTTCAGATGAACCCATGACCACCTTTGTGACCTGCGGGGCTCTGAAAGTCATCAGGTCACCACTTCGCTCCGATCGATTTCGGCGGCATGTATGCTGTCATATGCTGTCATATGCTGTTGTATTAACTGTTAGATGCTGTCCTCTAGTACTGTACGCAATATGTACACATGAATATTGTACACCATCCTAATCCGAGATATTCTGAGTCTGAGAATATTCCAAGACTGTTCTGAGATGATTTTTCATGAACCAGAATCCATCAGAATCTGCAGAATTTTCGATTTCATACGAGGCCTGACCTGCAGCAACCGATGGAAGTTCTGTTGAGCGCCTGGCGGTGCCTGGCGGTGCCGTGATGGTGAAATCATACGTTACTCCGTAACTGTTACTGGAGATTGGGATAAGGATAACAACTTTAGGAATCATAGAATCATATATATATATATATAGAACTTCACATAGATATAAAACTTCAGATAGATAAATTATTGGTTTCTAAAGTTCTTTTCTTGTCACACATACATTGTAAGATTTGTTTTGGATTCCCTGAGGCATAACATTTCTGGACTGAGGCTTACCATTCCAACATGACAAAACCACATGATGAATCCTCGAGACTATGACCCACCTCAAATCTGGGGTGAACGACTTCAGAATGTACATAGAACGCCTTTGCGTGGACGAAAAAGCTCTGCAGATTGGCTCTTTGGCACAGTAGCTACAGATATTGCGCACAGAATACGTAGAAAGACAAGACATTTTCAGTGTATAGTCAGTATATGCTCGTAGTATACACTCATACATATACTGTACACATACATGTATACATTATATACATGCAGATATTTATATATATATATATATATATCACATGTATATTTAAAAAATCAACATCCATATCTATATACCCCAAGCTCTTGGATTTCGCCCGCCAATGCTGTGAATTTGGCTTCAGTGGGCCTAGCAGTGTTTGGCAGACCCATGTGGCTGTTATGGGCGCCTATTGCCACTTGGCAGACTGGGCAGACTGGGCAGACCGATGTGGCCGTTGCCGATTTTTCATCAGGATGATTATCGGATGATTCAATGAAAGACTTTGATTTTTGATCAGATTGTTTTGAACTCTTACCAGGCCGAATGATTCAAAGATAAATACGATATTAGTTGATGCAATTGCTGCTGCATGGTTTCAGAGAATTTTCAGGTAACAATGGGTGCTGTGCGGCACTGAGTCGAATTTCTTGATGTTGCTCACAGATGGAAATGCAGCTGAAAGTCTATTTGATTCTATTTGCAAGATTCTTATCTTCACAACATCGAAGTTAACTTCCAAGTTAACTTCTGACAACTTCCAAGGGGATGTGATGCAGCCGGCCATGTCCATCGTTTCTGTTGCGAGGTCAAGATCCCGAAGGGAAGGCCTTTGAGGCTGAAGTGGTGCGGATCCCCTTGATCTGCCTCGATCGGATGGGATCCGATGAGCGGAGGCTCCGAGGCTCCACCAGCGACTCCTCAGTGGTGGTGGCTGTGGGTCCTGAGGCCTCCAAAGATGTTGGAATGCCACTGTCGCTGAATCTTCCTGGGAAGACTGAAGAAAGGCGCTCGGAGTGTCGTGTTGTGAAGTCCGGAGTTGTGTTGAAGTGTTGAAGTTGTATCACCATGGGTCACGCTGGTCTGCCATGGAAGAATGGGAACATGGCTGGAGTTCTTTTCACAGTGCGAAACCGACTGAAACCACCGACTGAAACATCTGAGAAACATCTGAAACCACCTGAAAGCTGAGATCTTTCATCCCCAGCTGCCAGGCCCACGCATGTCTTTGACCATGGTGCTGCATACACTGGCAGCTGGGTGGGCCAACAACGACAAGGATATGGCGTCCAGGCACAGAAACGGTCCATCCACCATGACCAATCTCTATAGATCTTGCAATCCAAATGACTTTCACTGCGATGGCAGGTCTGGCCGGATGGTGCGCGCTATGAAGGTACCTGGGACGAGTTGAGCCTCTGGTGGATCTTTTGTGCCTAGTTGTGAAGTTGTGATTATCATGGCGCCGTAACGTCGAAGTACGACTTCCGCTGTGCAGGAGACTGGAAGGAAGACAAAGCACATGGCTGGGGCAGGCAGTGGGAAAGAGCAGCGTGACATGACACACCTGAGAAGCTGGTCCAATCTATTGATCTGGGTAAATTATAACGACCTCACTGCGACCTCACTGGAATCATGGTTAATAAGGGGAATCATCCTCAAATGGCCTTAATTCAGGTTGGTGAATTATTATAATTTGCCCAGATTGATGTCGTAGGGACGTGAGCAGATTCACCACCATAGTCATCGTGGATCCAAATCTATTCTCGGCTTCGTCACCTTCACTTTCTACAACTGGCTGATTTTTCAAAATGATGTTGACATGCTCACAGGGAGAGAAGATGAGAGAAGATGAGAGAAGATGAGAGAAGATGAGAGAAGATGAGAGAAGATGAGAGAAGATGAGAGAAGATGAGAGAAGTAAGCGAAGTAAAGTTTAGTAAGCCTTCAGGTTTGTGCACGCCGATGGCGATGTTTACGAGGGCGAGTGGGCATCAGATACTGCTCATGGGTCGGGGCCCAGGACGTGCTCAGAAGCTTGGGCATCCTCCAACTATCCAATACTATCCACCTAACAGGCCTACGGCTACACCAGTTTAACTATGAAGCATCTACTGAAGCTAAACATCCTAAACTCAGTCGCGACATCAGTGGATTACATGACCATTACATGATTTTACTTTTTTCTTTACCAATGGTCCCTTCGGCAAGCATCAGTTTCTGCAGCTGGAACCCAGGAAGGGCACCTACCATCACTCCGATGGGCTGCGAACTGAGGGCAAGGATTTGCTGAGGGCTGCTGTTAGGCTACTGTTTTGAAGATGAAAGTGGCTGTGGCATGAACATGGCACACCCTCCAACTGGCTGATACTTTCGAAGCATGTCAATCATTTCAGCATATCACGTCATGTTCAGAGAAAAACAATAATTTTCTCACATCGTTATTTTTCTCTTATTTTTTCTCCACTTTGGCAGGGTGGTCGGTCCATGGCATGTGATCCATGATCCACGATCCACCTTAAAAGACTAAGGTCCAAGTATGAAGGTCAATGGGAGTACGACAGACAACATGGACACGGTGTGGAGCACTGGGTGGATGGCGCGCGCTACGAGGGCAAGTGCGACGAGTCGTCGTCGATTGAAAAAGCAACGGCTTTTGGTCGCCATTCTCCAGCCATTCTGGGTGTAGGAGTGTAGGAAAAGGAAAGGAACATATCAAAATATGGGAAAATCAAAGCAGCACCTTCGCAAGGCATTATGCAGCATTTCCTGCAGGTACACTGCAGGGAAGAAGCACGGCAAAGGCTACTTCACCTGGGCAGATGGCTCTTCTTACGATGGAGAGGACAGCCTTGACATTCAAAACCCCCTGCACCGGTGGGGTAATTTTGATGTTAGGGATTGGAACTGATAAATAGCCATTTATATCATTTAGATCATTTACTGGGGTTAGAATGATTAGAATATCCAAATGATTGTCAGCATTTTAATCCATGTTATCCAAACATTTCGACACTACGACGTTCTCCGCAGTTCATGAGCAACGACATCCACGGCATTGGGACCTACACCTGGGGAGATGGACGTCGCTACGAGGCGTGGTCGATGCAGGTCGATTTCAGCGTATTCGAAAGAAACAAGCTCGGATCTCTAATGCAATGGCATAGTATTACTATAGTATTACTCTAGTATGGGCATACTCTGGCATAGTTTTGTTTCTTCACATTTGTTGAATCATGTTGAATATTTGGTCTCGAAGTATTTGTGTTCAGAGAATGGGAAGACGGAAGCTGAGTCAGAAACGTGAGAAAGCTCGCCGTGCCAGGGGCAGTGGGAAGGCAACCGAATGCATGGTCGGGGCAAATTCACTTGGCAGGGAACCCAGTTCGAACTTGCTGCTAGGAAAGTCTTCTTTGTTGCTGGAATCTCTGCAATGGATGAAAGTCTTGAGTGAATGGAGTATCATTTTCTTTCGATTCCCTTTGCAAAAGGTGAACAGCTTTGAACAGATTTGAACAAAATTTGCAAAGAAATCGATATTTCTTGCAGACCTTGAGTCGGGAGGCCTGATGGCCGGGAATACGCCGGAGAGTACATCAATGACATTAAGGCTGCCATGAAACCGAAGAAACGGCGACACCAAGTTCACCTGGTAGAGTTTGATCTGAATCAGACCGTGTTGGGACGAAATGGTACCGCAACGAATATGTCAACATACCGGGTTCCCGGTATGTCAGCTATGTCAATGTCAAAGTATGCTGCAATATGCTGCAATCATGAAATCCGTTTTCACACCACTCTTGATGTTGCCAGCATGGCGATGGTATCTTCAAGTGGCCCGATGGCCGGGCGTTGGGGATCTCAGGAAATCTTCATCTCTTGATCTTTTGATGTCGCACATGGAGATGTTGTATGGGTTTTTGAGGGTAGTTGAGTGACACAGCAACATCTTCATTGGTTTTTCATTTCCTCTTCGATTTAATCGATTGAATTCTTCAACTGTTGAACTGTTGAACTGTTGTGTCCCAACTGGGTTAGATGATCGATGACCAGGATGAACAGCCGGATGGAAACATCCGGAGCCAAGGTACGATGGACAATGGCGAAATGGGAAGCAACATGGCTTGGGTTGGCTCGGGGACCCGGCGGCGACTCGAAATGAACTTAACAAGTGCAGACAGTGCAGACTATTCAAGTGATTATTCAAGAGATTATTCACATCTATTCACCATTTGAAATGATTTGTTTCCAGTTCAAGGCTGCCATCATTATGAGCCTTCAAATTCACAAGCCTTGATGGCACCTTGAACACTAAGAAGATGGTGGAAGCGGAGTGGAAATGTGATGAACCGCTGGTTTAACTGAGCATAGCTGAGCAGCTCCCTAAATGCTCCACAGTTTGGCCTAGTTTCCAGCAACTCTCCCTTCAATTCAATTCTTGTCTTGGGAAAAGGGAGCAAAAACATGCAGAAACATGCAAAAACTACGTATTAGCTTAATGTTACTTCGCAATATTTTATGCCATTCCACCATATTTAACCATCCCGGAGACCTCTCCACATGGGATTTACATTCGAATCACTCGAATCACGGTGTATAGGTCCTCCATGGGGACAGCAGAACGACGGCAAGGTGGGGTCCTTTGCGCTAGCCGCTAGCCGCTAGCCGCTTTCGGTTCCAGACACTTTGGTTCTGGGATGTTCTGGGTTCTGACAGTTCACAGGATAGAACTACTGTATAGTATCAGGAGTGCCGTCGTTCGAAATGCGGAAGCACTTTGAAAATCTTTGAAACTGATAACGATCTCCAAAGTTTTCCTCTTCTAGACCCTTCTGTCCTTTTCCTTCATTTTCCTTCATTTTCCTTCCCCAACCAGGTGCTCTCCTGGTTGGAGTTTTACGGTTTTACGCATCTCTTGATCTCCCTTGTTACTGCAACGTTCTTGAACATGACATTTAGATACAATAAGCCATCTTATGTTTTTCAGGCCCAAGTTGTAAGAGGATGTTCTGAACTGTCCCCCCAAAAATGCCCTTTGAGAGCGCACTATGTCATGATGATGATGAGGATGATGATGATGTCTGCCCCTGG